GAACCAAGTTGAGGAAGGGGGTCAAGGGAAGAAATCAACATTCAAGAGGATGTCGGATGCAGAATTTGAAGAAAAAAGAAGAAAAGGGTTGTGTTTCAGGTGCGATGAGAAATTCTTTGTGGGGCATAGATGCAAACAGAAGGAGCTACAGGTAATTCTAGCAGAGGAGATAAGAGATACAATAGAGGACACAGAAGAGGAGGGTGAGATGGAGGAAGAAAACCAAGAAAAAGAGGGGGAGTTTGCTGAATTGTCACTAAATTCAGTGGTGGGATTAACTTCTCCAAGAACATTAAAAGTTCGAGGAACAGTGGGAAATCAACAAGTGATAGTGCTAATAGATAGTGGAGCAACTCATAACTTCATATCTTTGAAGTTAATGAGGAAGTTGGAGTTGAAGGCTGGAGGTAATACACAGTTTGGAGTCTCGCTGGGCACGGGAATGAAAGTTAGAGGAAAAGGAGTGTGTAAAGCAGTGAAGGTACAGCTGCAACAATTGGAAATCATAGAAGATTTTCTTCCTCTAGAACTGGGAAGTGCAGACATGATCTTAGGAGTACAGTGGTTGCAAAAGCTGGGGAAGATTCAAATGGATTTTCAAGGATTAGAAATGAAGTTCAATCAGGGAGCCTCAGTGGTGACAGTTACAGGTGACCCTTCTTTGCACAATTCATTGGTGACACTGAGATCATTGATAAAATCAGTATGTGAAGGAGATCAGTCCTATATAGTGAAGTTAGGAGCATTGGAAGGGAGTGGAGAGTTAAGTACAGAACTTCCAGAAGTATTACAGACAGTGTTGGAGGAATTTGGTTCAGTGTTCGACATTCCTACAGAACTTCCACCATTGAGAGGGAGAGAACATCCAATAACTTTGAAAGAGGGCACAGGTCCTGTAAGTGTCAGACCATACAGATATCCACATGCCCACAAGGAGGAGATTGAAAAGCTAGTAAAAGACATGTTAAAGGCTGGCATTGTAAGACCAAGCCAGAGCCCTTTTTCAAGTCCTGTATTACTAGTAAAGAAAAAAGATGGGAGCTGGAGGTTTTGCATAGATTACCGAGCGTTGAACAAGGTTACAGTCTCGGATAAGTTCCCAATACCCATGATAGACCAACTGTTGGATGAGTTACATGGAGCAGTGGTATTTTCGAAACTAGACTTAAGGTCTGGGTATCATCAGATCAGAATGAGAGCAGAAGACATTCATAAGACAGCATTTAGAACGCACGATGGTCACTATGAGTTTTTAGTGATGCCATTCGGCCTTACTAACGCTCCAGCCACATTTCAAGCCTTGATGAACGAGATTTTCAGGCCTTTTCTTCGAAGATTTGTGCTGGTATTCTTTGATGATATCTTAGTGTATAGCAAGACAGTGAAGCAACATGCAACTCATTTGAAGGAAGTGTTAACAGTCTTACAGCAACACAAGTTGTATGCTAACAAGAAGAAGTGTGAGTTTGGGAGAAGGCAGATTGATTACTTGGGTCATATAATCTCCCAGGAGGGAGTTTCAACAGATCATACTAAGACAGCAGCCATGCAGAGATGGCCCACACCGAGCAATGTAAAGGAACTGAGAGGGTTCTTGGGGTTGACAGGTTACTACAGACGTTTTGTGAAAGATTATGGCACTATAGCTCGTCCCTTGACAGACTTGCTAAAGAAAGACGGGTTTCATTGGTCTGAAAATGCTTCGAGTGCATTCGGGAAGTTAAAACAAGCAATGATAACTGCCCCTGTTCTGGGATTACCAGATTTCCGAGATGTTTTTGTGGTTGAAACGGATGCCTCAGGGTTTGGCATTGGAGCAGTCCTAATGCAGAAGCATAGACCAATTGCCTTCTTTAGTCAAGCTTTGTCAGATAGGGAGAGATTGAAACCAGTTTACGAAAGAGAACTAATGGCGGTAGTTCTAGCTATTCAACGTTGGAGACATTACCTATTGGGAAGACATTTTCTGGTGTGCACAGATCAGAAGGCACTAAAATTTCTCCTGGAACAACGCGAGGTGAGTATGGAGTACCAACGTTGGCTGACTAAGCTGTTAGGTTATGATTTTCAGATTATCTACAGGCCAGGAGTGGAGAATAAGGCAGCAGATGGCCTGTCCAGAATGCCACAGGAAGCAAATATGGGTTCAACATTGATGGCCTTAGCAGTAACAATTCCGAGAAGTATTCAGTTGGAAGAGATTGAGAAAGAAATAGAGCAGGATATGGAACTAAAGGACATTGTGGATAAGTTGAAAGAAGGGCAGCAAAAGGTGGGGAAGTATCACATGATACAAGGGAGCTTGAGGTATAAGAACAGGTTAGTGGTACCTCGACACTCAAATTTTATCATGACAATTTTGGCTGAGTTTCATGACAGTGTAGTGGGAGGCCACTCAGGAGTGTTGAAAACGTTAAAGAGGATTCAAGAGGTATTTCATTGGATGGGGATGAAGGCGGATATTAGGAAATATGTTGCAGAATGTGCAACATGTCAGAGTCAGAAATACTCAACGCTGGCACCAGCAGGGTTACTACAGCCCTTACCTATTCCTCAAAGGGTTTGGGAGGATGTGTCAATGGACTTCATTGAAGGTCTACCACGATCAGCAGGTTATAATGTTGTGTTGGTTGTAGTTGATAGACTTAGTAAATATGCTCATTTCATAGCATTAAAACACCCTTTCACAGCTATGGTTGTTGCTAAGGCATTCGTGCAAGAAGTAGTGAGATTGCATGGATTCCCAAAAACGATAGTGTCGGATCGGGATAAGATTTTCCTTAGTAATTTTTGGTCAGAGCTGTTCAGGATGGCGGGAACGAAACTAAAATACAGCACAGCCTATCACCCGCAAACGGATGGGCAAACAGAGGTGTTGAACAGATGTTTGGAGACGTATTTGAGATGTTATGCCAACACACATCCGAGGAAATGGCTTCAATTTTTGAGCTGGGCAGAATTTTGGTATAACACAGCCTTTCACACTACAATACAGACTACTCCTTTTCAGATTGTATATGGCAGAGAACCACCAGTATTGATGAAGTTTGAGGAGGGATCAACAACAAATTTTGAGTTGGAGAAGGCACTGAAGGAAAGAGACAGAATGTTGGAGGAGATTAAGCAGAGATTACAGACTGCGCAACAGAAGATGAAGGCTGTAGCTGATAAGGGAAGAAGAGAAGTGGTTTTGGGAGTTGGGGACTGGGTGTATTTGAAGATCAGACCTTACAGGCAGAAAACACTGGCAGTAAGAGGTAACCAGAAGTTGGCTGCTAGATTCTACGGTCCATTTCAAGTGGAAGCTCGGGTGGGAAAGGTAGCATATAAACTGAGTTTACCTAAGAATTGCAGTATTCACCCTGTTTTTCACATTTCTCAGCTTAAGAGGGCATTGGGCAGCAATTTGCAACCTATTCAAATCCCTACTCAGTTGACAGAAGAGTTGGAGCTGCAAGTTCAACCGAAAGAGATAAAGGATTTCAGGTATTCTAAGGATGGTTTGCTAGAAGTGTTGATTGAATGGCAGGATTTACCAGAGCATGAGACAACATGGGAGGTGGCTGAAGATTTGAAGAAACAGTTTCCTACCTTCCAGCTTGAGGACAAGCTGAAACAAAAAGGGGAGGGTATTGATAAGTACTTCAGAGTATATGTGAGGGGCAGAAAGAGCTTGAAGGGAGCTGAAGGAGCTGAGGAAGGGGCTGGAGAAACAGTCAGGAACAGCTGAAGCAGAGGGAATGTCAGAGAGGGAGCTGAAGGAGCTGAGGAAGGGGCTGGAGAAACAGTCAGGAACAGCTGAAGCAGAGGTAATGTCAGAGAGCAAAGGTACGCAGCTAAGTGATTGTTTGTTTGGTTTTGTAGATATCATATATGTTGTGGTTTGTTTGGATTGTTAGTTGTGTGTTGTATTAGTTGTAAGTAGTTAGAGATTCTGTTAGGATGGGATTGTATAAATAGTTAGGAGAAGGGATATTGGAGGGTACGCAGATTCTATAGGAGAAATTGTGTGGGGAAGAGAGTAGGGGCCTCTCTCTAATCAAAGCTATCCAAGGTGTACCTGGTTTTGGTGATCAATAAAGCTGCTGGAGTTTCTCTCAGAGGCTGATTGACTACACAGAACCTTAACAGATACCATACCTTGTCCACCAAACTTGAGACTTTTTTATTTAACCTCAAAGTGGATGCAACTGTGAGTACTGAGCGCTTTTTAGGCCGTGTAGCTGACAAACAAAGCCAAAGAGTTGTAAAATGCTTCAACACCATGGTGACATATATATCAGTTCACCAAACATACCTTTAGATTGACCTTTTCCCAGTACAATTGCATTAGCAACTGCAGCCATGACAACATCTGTTGGTTGAGAGCAAACAGGAATACTATCTTTGACATGAGTAGTAGAAGAAGAGGAAGGAGTCCCGGTAGAAAACAATTTACTGGATCCACCAATAATATGATTATTGGCTGTGGAGCTAGGTTCCAAGACCACATTCCAAGACCACAGAAACATCGGTAGATTGAACAGTAACAGCAGTGTGATTAACAGAACCAACACCAGTGTGATGCAGTGATGACTCTGCCGAACCAACAACAGGAAACAGGGGAGCTGTTCCTTCTTTGAAATTGTAATAAGCTTCGACCCCATCGGCTATATCCCAGGCGCAAACTCACTACTTGTACCAGAAACAGTTTCACAATAAAAAGATGATTTTGGGGCAGCAAGACTTGAGACCCGTCAACAGGGCCATAGTACTGACTGTTGGGAGTTTCAGTAACAACATTGCTATAGTATAGAAAATTGGTTGCTGGACAGGACAAGTTGTACTGTGCTGCATAAGTAGCCCACTGTTGAGCATAAGATTGAGGTGGCAATGTATGAAAGTCCCTGAAGTTCACTGGCTGGAGGTAGAGGAACCTGTCCATTAACTGCAGGAGGAGGAGGAATTGGTTCATCATCAGTGTCCGGTGGGGGGGGGAGGGGGGGAGCCTCTTCAGTATCAGGACGGTGGTGGCGGAATCCATTCCTTGCCAGGAGGAGGTGGAACAGTTGCATCTGCAGCGTTTGTACGAAGGTTGGATTGATCTGTTTGACCTAAAATATTGCCATCAGATGAAACTATCGATGGCACAGCAGATGGGACAGAGTCTTTGAAAGATCAAAGCTTCGATTTTTCCGTGGTTCAGACACAGAACTCAACTCTCCCACCACTTATCAATGCCATGGAGGTCTACTTTGCTAATAAACTCCCTGAGTCTCCCACCGATCAGAATGATCGTAAGTTCTTCTCGTTGGCCGACCGATCTTTTTTTCGGATTCCGTGTTTTCTGATACCCGACAACTAATAATCTTTGTGGATCTCAGTTGTAAATCTGCATATCGGATCAAGAAGAGCAACTGGCAAGGAGATCCATGCATGCCTCGAGCCTACTCGTGGGATGGGATAACTTGCAGTTACGACAATGGTACAGTCTCGCCTAGAATCGTAGCCCTGTAAGAATCATCTTATTACGCTCTCGCTTCCTCCTAGGGGAATGGTTTTCAGCCAGTGGTCAGGCTCTTAATTGTAATTGCTCCATGGAATAAACAGGAACTTGTCATCTTCTGGATTGGCAGGAGTGATAGTTCCCGATATATCACGTCTCGAACGATTACAAGTTCTGTAAGTAGTTCTCATGTCCGTGTTGAATATAACCCTGAACCATGACGATATTGCACGCTGAATTTCGGGTCTTGTGGCTTTCAGGGACTTGTCAAATAACAATCTGTCTGGACCTGTACCGGCTTTCCTAGCTCAACTTCAATTTCTGAGGATCCTGTGCGTACTTTCGAGCGGCCGGCCGAAGATAGGATTTCATAGCTTTAAGTTTTAGCAAATGACTTTGCTTTCTTCGCCTTTGCAGAGATTTGTCAAACAATCAGCTTACGGGTCCTATACCATCTGAGCTCGTTGCAAGAACAAGGGATGGCTTGTCATTACAGTATCATACCTTCGTTTTCTCTTCCTTGCCTCCCGATTCCTCTATACGAGTTACGGATATCGATTTTGGATCAAGCAATCTACCGTGTTTGCTTGTTCATTCCGGCTAATCTCGCCTCGTTTGAACGCTTTATCCTATTGCAGTCTCATTGGAAATCCTAGTGTTTGCTCGGTAAGTTCCTGTGAGATTCTACAAAGCAAGCCCGAGAAGAAGAAGAAACTTCCGAGATTCGACGTTCCATTATTGGCATCAGTTGCAGGGTTCTTTCTCCTCATTTCTGTATCTACGATAATACTGTTTTTCCTCACGACAAGGCGAAAACGAGGTACCCTTCACACCTGTCTACACGCTTAAATTACACAACGATGGTCTAAATACTGTAATGTTATTTCCTGCAGGTCATCCAATTCATAGGACAGTCATGGCAACAAGTGGCCCGTCGTTACGTCGGAGAGAAACTGCTTCCATACGTTCATCGTTGCCGAGGATAGAGAGTGGAATGACTGAGTACGAGTTCAATGAAACAGCTTTAGATGTGTCAGGTTTGGACAGGACACAGAGGAAGTTCAATTTCCATGTCAACAACTTCCACAACTGGTAAAGTGGTCTTCTCAGGCATTTCATCTAAAGCAGTTACACCAGCCGATTCTACTGATTTCTCCTTTTCTTCCACGGAAGTTCAGTTAGTTGCTGCAATATCATCCATTACAGCGGACTTTGCGAGCTCGTAGAATTCATTGTTCATACTATCTTCCAGACGACTGAGCTGCTTCTCACTGTGAAACCAAAATGAGACTAGAGATGAGGAATCCGATTCCGATATGAGAGCCTTGATATCCGAATGTCTAACCTCAACCTCCAGAATGTACTTCGATATCCGTTCATGGCTGGGCAAGTTTCCATGAGACCTGTAACACAGGTAAGTAGTTGAGTAGATCAAGCTTCAAAAAGAATAGAGGATTTATCGTGTCTTTGTTTAAAAAATATGAGTAACAAGGAAAGTCAAACAAGAATTGCTTACTTTTCCAACAACCTCAGTTTCTCCAGCAAATGCACAGGGAGATCAGCGGCTGCTCATTTGTCAGAATTTGCAAGCGCGTATTCTGATGAGTTTCCTGGACCTGCAAGTTCCTCGCAACATGGTGGAGAATTAACAGCGGTTCTCTGACACTCACACTTCCATTGCCATCAGTTAGCAAAGGTTTGCTTTTAAGATCTTTGCTTTTGCATCTGTCATTCGACAAATCTGTTTGATGTTCAATAATATCCACTGTCTTCTGGGAAGTCAAGCTGTCAGGTCCCGAGATAATATTTTGGACAGGTAGAGACTGGCTTGGTTCCACACTTAGAACTAAGTTGGACCCATACAAACCCAGGGGTGTCAAAATGGTCGGGTCGGGCCAGCCCGGTTGCATATGTTTTCTGATCATAACTCACTCCGGAAGTTTGAGCCAAAACCTCGGGAACTTCCCATGAAGTTTCACCAGTTTCTATATTCCAGTAGTAATACTGATTACTTTCTTCATGCAAGATCAGCTCCCAGTATGAAGAAACATCCCCCGTAACATGGAGCTCAGAAGACACAGTATTGGAGGCTTGCATTGAGGAGTTGGGTTGGTTGTGCAGTCCAACTGAGGCAATATAATCACTTGCTGTGACTTCACCGCCATCCTTTTCACCCATAACATCAGATGCACAAGAATCCATCGATGTGCGCTTTTCATTGATTGTCTGCATAACAGAGTTTGCATCAGATTTGACATTCGCATCTTTGCAAGCTCCATGAGCAGATCCCTCTGCCTGGCTCAGAGAAAAAATAATTCTTCCCCATAATTACGACAAACTGATACCAACAAGACCAAGATAATAGCCGATAGATAAAAAATTACAATCATTACCAGGACACGGTTTTTTCAAAAATTAAATACCATTCATTACCTGCTCCTTGTTATGGGCTAATGAACTATCCACAGCAGCAGCATTATCTCTCTTAACCGATATTTTCGGCTCATCGTCACTGTACTGCCCAAGGAAAAGTAGAGGGTTTTCTGTTTTCTGACCTGAAAAAGAAAAAGCTTGCACGTCAAATGTCGGAAAACCCACTGACCACATACTTAGATGTCAATTACAGGAACTGACTAAAGTAATAGTGGTGGGTTATGTTTAAGCTGCAATAATTTAAAGGAAAAGGATCAAGAGTGACATCGAGAAAGATTTTTCAGCCACCAGTTACAACTACATAAAAACCGTCAGATTAACCATTGAAAGCCAATAAAGCCAGAGATATACGAACCGCTGTGAGATGTTCGCAGAAGAAAGCCCCCCACAAAGCTTTTGAAGCTGCAAAATAGAGCATAAGGGTGCAGGACACATTCAAAATACCACAGAGGCAGGGTCTGAACTGATCTCAAATGAATGTCCTCAAGACCACAGCCACCATACGCTTTCAGAAGAAATTTTGGGGCAACCGACACTACACTACATGTCTTTGCACACAAACAGGAGCTTCCTTTTTTTTTCTGTTTCTTTTTTGTTTTCGGCACCATTAACATGCCAAACACTCATGTCCTTCGCTACATAGCGAATTCGAAGATAACTGACAGAACCCACCTGAAGAAGAAGGTGAATTGGGTATCATTGGGGTCTGTTTGTTCCCGCTCATCTCTATCGCCCACATCCGAGCAACCCAAATCTCCTTCAAACATCAAAGAGATCATTAAGAACGCCAAACAGGGAACGTTGGGGAAACAAATACTGCACTAGAGATTTTCAATTTCCGTTTTGTTGGACAAATTATTGCACAGTTTCCAAAACCACCAGAAAGAAGAAAAAAAACAATCGAGTTGTTCATTGAAATTTAATCATACTCCATGAGCCAAAGTAGAAAAAGAGATCAAAGCCAAGTGTGTATTTTGGAAATGCCTAAATTCGAATATGGATTGTTCATGTATAACTCCACCTTTCTCTGGATGTTCCCCGACAACACAGGGATTGTAACAATTGAACCGGGGAAAAACACGAACAAAGCGTTCAGAAGAGTCGATGAAATTACCACGAATTCATGACGAAATTAGATGGAAGAAGGGAGAGGAACAGGTACCAGAGGGCTCCGCGAAGAGACCCAGCTTGACACGGCGACTGGCGTTACTCATAGCCGCGAGACGACGCTCCCTCTTTCCCATCGGAAGATTGTCTGCCCCGGTGGATCCAAGAAACAGAGAATCGACAAACAACGAATTTTACTTTTTGGTTCCCTTCTCACGCAGCAAAGCGGGGAGAAACCCTCGACTCACTCGAGTACGCTCGCAAGAGCGGAAAATTGCAAAAATCAAACCTGACTCAGGGATTCAAACAGAACGGCGAAACGATGCCGTTTGGGATTGCCGCTTTTACGCCGGAGAAGTCACGCCGTTTTTTCCTCCATGAACGAACTACACGCCGTTTCTTATTAAATAGCCCAACAGATAAGAATAGTACCCGGCCCATGTCACTGAGCTGAGCCACATCTTGAAGATTAATTATTACTTTGGGCTGAGATTAGGAACAGGCTAATAACCAATTATGAACTGAGAGAAAATACCAAAACGCATAGAGAAAGAACAACACCCAACGGCAACAAAAACTAGAGGTTCTCAAATCATAAGATGCAACACAATGATTAATAACGATGCCGAATCGCTCCGCAACCCCATCGTCCGACCAAATCCACCAACAAGTTTCTTTTAAATAACAAAAAAGACAGTCTAAATAACTGTAAGAGAGTTTAGTCGACTTCCTCCATCTTGCTGCCCTCAGCATCCACGTCGTCCTCAAGCGGAGGCATATCAGAGTCAGCTTCCCCGGCAACATCCTCGTCAATGCTCAGCCCCAGCTTCAGCATCCTATGTATCCTGTTCCCAAACGTGTTCGGGTCGTCCAGACTGAACCCAGATGTCAGGAGGGCGGTCTCGAACAGGAGCAGGACGAGATCTTTCACCGACTTGTCGTTCTTGTCGGCATCCGCTCTCTTCCTGAGCTCGTCCATGATGGGGTTCTCGGGATTGATCTCCATCGTCTTCTTGCTCGACATGTAACCCGCCATGCTGCTGTCTCTCAGAGCTTGAGCCTTCATTATCCTCTCCATGTTGGCCGTCCATCCATACTCTCCAGTCACCAGGCAACAAGGCGAGTCCACAACACGGTCGGACACAATCACCTTCTCAACCTTGTCCCCGAGAACATCCTTTATCACCTTGCACAGACCTTCGAATTTCTCCTTCAGTGCCTCTTTCTTCTGCTTCTCGTCCTCTGTCTCGTCTAGCTTGAGACCCTCCTTTGTGGCTGAGACCAGCTTCTTGCCCTCAAACTCCTTGAGCTGACCGATTGCGTATTCATCAATGGCGTCCACCATGTAAAGGACTTCGTATCCTTTCTTCTTGAGTTTCTCGAGGAAGGGGGAGTTCTCGACCGCCTTCTTGCTCTCGCCGGTGATGTAGTAGATGTCGTTCTGGCCTTCCTTCATCCGGGTTACGTAATCTTTAAGGCTGGTCAGTTCATCCCCGCTCTTGGTCGAGTGGTACCGGAGGAGTTCCGCGATCTTGGCCCGGTTGGTGGAATCCTCGTGGATTCCAAGCTTGAGGTTCTTAGAGAATGCCTCATAGAATTTGTCATAGTCTTCCTTGTTCTCGGCAATTTCGAAGAAGAGCTCGATGCATTTCTTGACAAGGTTCTTGCGGATGACCTTCAGGATCTTGTTCTGCTGAAGCATTTCTCGGGAGATGTTGAGAGGTAAATCCTCGGAGTCAACAATACCCTTGACGAAGCTGAGGTACTCAGGGATGATATCCTCACAGTTGTCCATGATAAAGACACGTCTGACATAGAGCTTGATGTTGTTAAGCTTCTTCCTGGTGTCAAAGAGATCGAAAGGCGCTCTCTTTGGAACAAACAAAATGGCCTTGAACTCAAGCTGACCCTCGACTGAGAAATGCTTCACGGCCAAGTGCTCCTCCCAGTCGTTGGAGAGGCTCTTGTAGAAGGCAGCGTATTCCTCCTTCGTGATCTCCTCGGGTTTCCTCATCCAGATGGGTTTCTGCTTGTTCACCAATGACCACTCATGCGACACCTCCTTGATCTTCTTCTTCTTTTTCTCGTCCTTCTCTTTCTCCTCGTCAACTTCCTCAACTTTCCCCTCCTCATCCTTCTTCTCTTCCTCATCCTCGTCGTCAGAGATTTCCTTCTCGATGGTCTTCTCAACCCACAGAGAGATCGGGTAGCTGATGAATTCGGAGTGCTTCTTGATCAAATCCTTGAGACGGCGCTCCTCGAGGTACTCAAGCTGATCTTCTTTGAGGAAGAGAGTCATCTTTGTACCCCTTCCGAGGTTCTCACCCGAGGTATCTCTTGTCACAGTGAATGATCCACCAGCTTGGGATTCCCACACGTACTGCTCGTCGTCGTTGTGCTTTGTGGTAACAACGACCTTGTCGGCAACCAAGTAAGCCGAATAGAAACCCACACCGAATTGTCCAATCATGCTCACGTCGGCACCGGCAGCCAGAGCTTCCATGAACTCTTTAGTACCCGATCTCGCAATGGTCCCGAGATTGTTCACGAGATCTGGAAACAGACATTGTCCATCAAATCCCAGAATCTAAGCAAACAGAACATCAAAACATGCATATTCAGAAAAACTACAGGATTTACAGCATCAATGAGTCACTCACCAGCTTTTGTCATGCCAACACCACTGTCGATAATGGTCAGTGTGTTGTTGGTCTTGTCGGGAACAATGCGGATGAAAAGCTCCGGCTGACCATCGAGCTTGCTTTTGTCTGTCAAGCTTTCGAATCTGATCTTGTCCAAGGCCTGTCACAGACAATGAAATCATCAGGACGAAAGTGGAAAAATTGATCCAAAATATACGGTCAAGCATCAACACCAAGCAATTATTCTACGAATCCATATTCAGATCAGTAGCCTACACGGAAACCTCAGCATTAACAACTGGCACCAAACGACGATGAACGAATCCAGACTTCTCCCGGAAAAAAATCTCGAAAAATCCAATCTAGTACGACGAAACGAAACCCAACGACAATCAAAATTAACATAACAAAGTAAACAAATTGCCCACTAGATAGGAAACCTAACTGGTCGAAAGAGAATACGATAGAAGCAACACAAATCATCAATCAGCCATGAATTCAGAACAGACCGAAAAAATCATAAAACCATGACGGCTAGATGCTTAAGATTACACACAAAATCCAAAAAAGAAAGAGAGAGAAAACGAACATCGGAAG